CGATCTCTGTAAACATCGGTAGATAAAAATCCTTGACTGTAATGACATCACATGATGAAATCACACGTGAAATCCACGATAGCGTCTGTAAACATGACTGACGTGATTCAAGTTGGAATTTACTGTTATACTTGATTCTGTAACTTGGAAAAACACTGCATAAAGGTATGTCATCCTTATAACATACAACATGATGCTGGTACCCTAGTTGAAAATAGTGTGATGGCTGGGAGTTGTTCCACTGTCATAGAGGCTGTAAGTGTGATCTTTGAAGTACCTGTTAACCTTGCTAGAACAGGAATTTTTGTTACAATAGTTATATTATACGACCGTTGTTGTCAATGTCAGTGTATGTGTCATTATTGGTACCAAAATCATCAAGATCATCATTGGTATGTGTTTTCGCTGAATTAAGGATACAGAAGATGACTGCCAGATCTAGTCACGGGTTTGTGAAATAAAGCGGTGTTTGTGGTATATCTGTTACATAGCTAAGCTCCTAACAAACTGCAACGACTAACGACTGCAAGTAAAGATAGTTCACCTGCATATTGATTGTTTCTTGAATTGCTCCACGAGATCGGTGATATGTTTCCCACGTGCCTGTGCCCGGATGCAAGTGAAGCCTCGCTACAACGGGCAACGCTGGAACGCAATGATCAATACCAGATCGCAATGGTACCAAAAGTAATGGTAACTAGCAACGCGGCTGAAGTCGAGGATAACGGACATGCCACAACCATGTTGTGTAACTTATGGGGAATCAAGCATAGTTAGAAACAGGAAACTGTGTAACCGTACGCTGGCTGGACGTATCAACAGACCCGCACACAAACTCGCCTGTGACAAGTACAGAAACGAACTCTGAAATGTGTATTGATACTTTTAGAAGGGTAAACCGGACCTTCACAGAACTAGCATTATTCGAACTGTAGTATGTGACGATCTGTGTGAAGTATTTTGTGTCTATAAACTGATTTACAGAGGTACGACTTGACAGGGACGTAGAACGGCGTGCAGCCTGAGTTGGAGAAGTTACATGGTGTAGACAGTTGCTTGTTGCGACTGACCGCCTAGCTGAGGGAAAGACTGGGAGGCCATCTCACACGATGGCGCCGTTGATTACGTGTTCCCTTCTAATGCTGATGTTTACAGGTAGGCTGGTTGTTTGTCGTTAACTATTTTGACATGCATTGGGGTTTCGGCAATGTAGTTTGACAACTGTACATAATGTCCTTTTTCATAATTTTTCATGGTGAATTTATGTCAATTTTTGTCTCAAAACATGTGTTACGGGACTGAGCCTTTATTACAGGGGAGTGGGATGTGGGGGATTGGGGTAAGGGGCGTGCGTGCGTGCTTGCGTGTGTTGCTGCTTGTACGCGTCCGGACTGATGCCGATGTGAAAGAGAGAGAGAGATTTGCCTTTTGCCACTTTATGTAACATTTATTCATGACGCCCCCTCCCCTCCCAAAACACAACAAACACATGTAACATTTTTCAATGACCCACCCACTTGATGAGCAGTCCCTAAATAATGTAAATAATGTACAAATATACATTTTTATTTATTTGAAAACAAATAGAAACAACCCCCACCCCCCGAGCCTCATCTATAATAAAAGACAATTCCTTTAATGGTTGTTTTATTCAAGCTCAGCAACACTTTCACAACAGTTATTGTCCTGACATGCTATATAATAATCTAAAGAAGCAAACAAATAAACAAACAAAGAATAAATAGATCTTGGATTTTCTTATCTGCGTTACTGTGAAATAGCAACTGTGCCTGGTCACTCGATGACATAAACATATTTTGTCAAGTGGAACACTGTATCCTCTTTCTATACTGAGTCAAATTAAAAACTTCACATTTTTAAAAGTAATCCCATATATGATATACAACGGACAAATGTATCAGAGAAGGTAATTTTTAATCATTAACGTCCAAAGAAGGATTTTAATTAACTGTGGAAACCATTATTTGTTCCAAGCACCTACGGTATTCGGTAATAACATCAACAGTTTAAATCATAAGTCCCAAGCACGAGAATCTGATGGCACACAAGTCCAGTAGCGTGTATGGCCACCATGTGCATTGACAACTGCCTCACAACGCCTCCGCATGGACCTTGTGATGCTTGTGAACACATGATTGGGAAGACGACGCCATTGTTGCTGCGAAATGGTGCCAAGATCTTGCAAATTCTGTGGTTGGTTCTGGAGAGTGCGCAGACTTCCGCCAAGAGCATCCTAGACGTGTTCGATGGGGTTGAGGTCGGGAGACCTTGACGGCCAGTCCATGACGTTGACTCCCGCATTCTGAAGGAAATTCCTGGCATTGTCGTGTTGGAAGATCAAACCGGGTCCATGTACTGCCATAAAAGGGAGAAGTACTGGTGCCAGTACCTGGTCGCGGTAAGCAGCAGCGTTGAGGTTGCCACGGATGACAAGAAGCCTGGAACGTGCATTGCCACAGAAAGCACCCCACACCATGACACTTCCGCCTCGAAATCTTTCAACTTCCTGTACACAACACTGGGCGTAACGTTCATGACGGCGCCTCCACACCCTCGCCCTACCATCAGCAAATCGAAGATTCAATCGGGATTCATCACTGAAGACGACTTGATTCCAATTCCTCGGAGTCCATCGTAAGTGTCGCTGTGCCCACAATTGACGTTGACGTCTGTGTAGTTGAGTCGGAATCGGCCCGCAGTATGGCCGCCGTGCTTGAAGGTGAGCAGTTCTCAGACGGTTTCGAACAGTTTCCGCACTCAGTCTACCCCTAATCAGTTCATTTCTGGTTGATAAAGCCGTCAAAAATCGGTTACGGGGGTGACGTAAGACAATCTGACGATCCTCTGCATGTGACGTCACACGTGGTCGACCTGGCCGAGGGCGATCAGCGGTGGCACCCGTTTGCTGTAGACGCGTCTGTAAATCATAAACAGTCTGTCGACTACAACCAATCGTCCTTGCGACTTCAGCTACGGACGTTCCCGTCTGCAACATGCCGATGGCACGTTCACGTTGAAATGCGTGGCATGACAAATGGCCGAAAAGATTTTTGTTTTCTTGTGTTTTTCTTTTTTTGTTAATGACTGCTATCAAGTATGGCTGAAAACACGTGCGGTATTATGGCCACGTGACCAGTTGCACGTGAAAAACCACTTTCGCCACTATAGTGCTGTGCACATGATTTTGATCGATTCACCTGCAAAAACGGGTGTTATCTGAAGACAATACGTGGCCATTACTGTTTAAATACACAATAAGGGCCCACAATGATAACTGTTAAAATGTTAAAATTTTAGGATTGTGAAGTTTTTAATTTGGTTCAGTATATTTTAGTTATGTAAATACAAATAACAACATCATTTCCATAACCATACAAAATATGGTTCTGCAAAATACAGCCCATTGTACAAATCCGACTGTATCATAATCAGATATGCTTTTAAATCAGTATTATCATGTAGAGATCATACCAGGTGTTGGCAAAAAGGTGTGACTTCCCTGCCCTACCGGTGGCACCCGTCACAAAAAACACACGCAGAGTTAAACCATGTATTCACCCGAACAAACACAGGAAGATATTGAATTAGTGGAAACAGAGTGGAATTTAGAAGCCGTGTATCAATGAGGACCAGACAAAGGTTCTTGCACCTGTACAGGGACGTCGCATTGTTTGTTTGTGTGTTGTTTAACGCCACACTCCAGCAATAATCCAGCTATATGACGGCGGTCTGTAAATAATCGTGACTGGAGCAGACAATCCAGTGATTGACATCATGAGCATCGTTCTACGCAATTGGGATACGGTGACATGTATTAACCAGGTCAGCGAGCCTGGCCACCCGATCCCGTTAGTCGCCTCTTACGACAAGCACAGTCGTCTTTTATGGCAAGCATGGGTTGGTGAAGACCTATTCTACCCCTGATCTTCACGGGTCAGACGTCGCATTGAAAGAAGCTGACGTCTATGTCAACCCTGTCTTCATAGTTATGTAAGGTTAATATTGCGTGTGTTGATGTACATGACTAGATGTATTAGACTTGGTGAGACTCCTCACTGCCAGTACGTTCCTGGCTTACATTGCCGTATAGTTTACGCAAAAACAACGAATATGTATTTTCTGAACTAGAGGCATATGCCGGGGATATTAATATAGATTGACAGTAGCGGGTGGCCTCGCCTAGATGAACACTACTGTAATACATTGAACAACAAGCATGGCGGGTTCTTAGAATCGTTTACTACGTCATCCGGTTTGGTACATGCGTGTTACGTCATCACTTACGTACATATGTATGACGTCACAGTTAACCCTTTATCTTACATCTCCCTTCCTCTGAAAGTGAAAACAAACGAAATTTAACACTTTAGTGTCCATAAACATGACGTCACTGTTGACGATAGAGTTAACCCTTTATCCTACATATCCCCTCTTCAGAAAGTGAAATTAACTAAATTTAACACTTTAAAGTCCATGAACATAGAATGTTGAACTGGTAACTGAGAACATAAACAGTTCAATCTTGATATCTTCTGGGAATGTTGACAGGTCTACCAGAACCGGTCGTTACTGGCTTTGTGTTTTCCATGGCATTTTCTTTTGGACTGTCTTGGGTTTCAGATTTTACTGTTTTAGTGTTATCTTGCTTGTTTTAGTGATTTCTTGCTTGTCCTTCATGTTGCCAAAGTCTTCCGCTGTTGTTCTGATTTCATCTGTATGCTTTGCCACTGTTAGTTGTCACCTTGTATGATCCTGGTGAAGGGTCGACTGCTGTCACAACAGCAGGATTCCACCCGCTCTTCTCCTGTACTCTGACATAATGTCCACTCTCCGCTCCCGTTGTCATAGCAGTACTTTTGTAGATCTTGCCTGTATTCAAGTTGTCTTTGAAGAAGGGAGTGATCTTGTGCTTGTGGTTGGAGGAGTGCTTTTGACACAGGCGAGCGGCTCTTCAGGCGCCGGCCCATCAGCATCTGTGCTGGCGACAAGTTCACTTTGTCCACTGGTGTATTTCTGTACTCAAGCAGGGACAAGTAAACATCTCTTCCACTTGCCTCTGCCTCTTGCCTCAACATCATCTTGACAGTCTGTACTGATCTTTCAGCTTGACCATTCGATTGTGGATACGTTGGGCTTGATGTCTATGGGTGAATTCCCATGCCTGTGAAAATCTGCGAAACTCAGTACTTGAAAATTGTGGACCATTGTCTGTCATGATTTCATCTGGTATTCCGTGTCTAGCAAAGACTGACTTCAGTGCTGTGATAGTAGTTTTGCTTGACCAGTCAGTAAGTTTCACAATTTCTGGGTACTTTGAAAAACAGTCCACATACAACAGGTAGTCACTGTTTTTGTATACAAACAAGTCCGCACCAACTTTAGCCCATGGTCTTTCTGGTATGTCATGGCTTTTCAGTGGCTCTTTTGTGTTGCTCTTTTTGTGAGTGAGTGAGTGAGTGAGTGAGTTAGTGAGTATGGTTTTACGCCGCTTTTAGCAATATTTTAGCAATATTCCAGCAATATCACGGCGGGGAACACCAGAAATGGGCTTAACACATTGTACCTATGTCGGGAATCGAACCCGATTCTTCGGCGTGACGAGCGATGGCTTTAACCACTAGGCTACCCGACCGCCCCTGCTCTTTTTGTTTTCATTGCAGATTGTACACTGTGATACAAAATCTTCGATATGTTTGTTCATTCCAATCCAGAAGAGTACATCTCTTGCTCGTTGCTTGCATTTCGTTATTCCTAGGTGTGCTTCATGAATTTTCTCTAGCATTTCTGCTTGCAGTGCCCTTGGAACAACTAGTTTGTTTCCCTTGAAGACTAGATCCCCAACTACAGCCAGTTCGTCACGAATATTCCAGAAGTCTTGTACACAAGCTGGAACATCTTTCCTGTCCAACGACCAACCAATGAGAATGACAGATTTCAATTGCGGTAGTTGTGGGTCATCTGCTGTGGCCAACTTGAATGTCTCCACTCTAGATGAAGTCAAGGGTAGTTGTGATATAAAGTTCACATCAAACTCTGTCTCATCGAACTAATTGTCATCAGCTGGGAGATATGTTCTGCTTAGAGCATCAGCAACGATAAGTTCTTTACCTGGTCGGTAAGTAACCTGTCGATCATATTTCTGCAGACGGAGCAACATTCTTTGCAATCTGTGTGGAGCCTGGCACAATGGTTTTCGAAAGATTGCTTCAAGGGGCTTGTGGTCTGTTTCTACGAGGACAGGTTTTCCATATATATATTGATGGAATTTCTCACACCCATGCAGGATTCCCAGCATCTCCTTCTCGATCTATGCATATCTCTTCTGTGCACTTGTTAGTGATCGTGATGCAAACGCAACTGGCTTTTCAGCTTGTATGAGCATTGCTCCTAGTCCTTCCTGTCGGAACTGGCATCAACTGACAATGTTACTGGTTGAGGAGTGACATCGAAGTACTGAAGTACGGGAGTGTCTTCAAATTCTTGAAGCATTTTCTCTGGGGTTCTTCCCAGTGCCATGCAATGTCTTTTGACATAAATTCTCTCAGTGGCGCAGTTTCACTGGAGAGATTTGCTATGAATTTTCCTAAGTATCGAATCATGCCCAGGAATCTCATCAAGTCATGTTTGTTTTCCGGCTCTGGCATTTCTCTAATAGCCTTTACCTTTTCAGGGTCTGGTTTTAGTCCATCCTTTGTCAGAAGATGTCCAACATATGACACTTCTGTCATTCTTAACTTGCACTTTGATCTGTTTAGTTTCAGACCACTTGACTGTATCCTATTCAGGACTGCATACAGTCTCTCATCATGTTGCGGTACATCTATACCCCACACTAGCACATCATCAACGATGCATTCTGCACCAGTAAGGCCCTCTAGTAGCTGAGACATTGTTCGCTGGAATACCTCTGGAGCTGATTTAACTCCGAAAGGTAGTCTTGTGAAGCGATACCTACCATATGGTGTGTTGAAGGTGCACAGTTTGGAGCTTTCTTGATCCAGTTTGATCTGCCAGAACCCGGACTCAGCATCCAGAACAGTGAATATTTTAGCACCAGGTAAGTGTGGCATGATTTCTTCCACTGTTCTCATGGGATAGTGTTCTCTTTTCACAGCCCTGTTTAGATCTTTAGGATCTATACATATGCGCGTCTTGTGTGGTTTGACTACAGTAACCATGCTGTTCACCCAGCTGGTTGGTTATGTCTGTTTGACAACGACACCAAGCTTCTCCATTCGGTTGAGCTCAGTTTTTACTTTACCCATTATTGCTGCTTGCACTTTTCTTGTAACATCAGGTGTAACATCATCCAAAAGTTCGATGTGATGTTCTCCAGGCATACATCCCAGTCCGTTGAATAGTTCTTGAAATTCTCCCAGAATATCTTTATTCACCTCTGGACTTGGAAACACAGGTCTCTCAACTGCATGTATGCGTTGCACCAAGTTCATTTTTGTACATGTTTTCTTTCCCAGAATGCTAGGTCTGTCGTCTTTGACAACTTGGAACACTATCTTGTACCCAATTCCCTTTTGTGTGCACTCTAGCTTTGAATACCTGCACGGCTGATTCTCCTCCCGCCATCGTTTCCAGTTCTCGGCTAGATTGCCTTCAAAACTCAGTTCATTTGGTGCTCGTAACTGCTCCATTCGGCCCAGTTTTCCGTGTTCACGTCTGACACCATGTAATAGATTGTACAACAAGCATGGCGGGTTCTAAGAATCGTTTACTACGTCATCCGGTTTGGTACATGCGGGTTACGTCATCACTTACGTACATGTGTATGACGTCACAGTTAACCCTTTATCTTACAACTACCAAGCTGACTGTCGTTCATTTCCCGATGAACGTCAGTATGTCACGTGATTACTTTGTCAATCGCGCGGAGACATACGGAACTACTTTAGGGAAATTCCTCAATGTCTAAAAACATTAAAAATAATTAGGGAAAAATGAGAGCGACATCGATTCAGGCTATGAATGATGCATGCTTTCAAGTCAGACAGATCATGTATATGTAGGGTCACCGAAATGAAGCGTCCGTTCGAAGCTATGAAAGAGAATGCTCGACTCACCAAAAGAAATCACCGAGCTCCACACTATCGTGCCTCAGTAAATCCAACTGCGCCGCCTCAAGCGGTAATCCCCGTCATCAGCAGCCGTAGTATGACTCAAACACACACCAAAATTTCACAGAACGTTAATATGTATGCATTTTCAGCATGAGCCTTGGATTTCTTTCCAGTTCAAGCGCTAACATTACTGGGTGCAACTTGTATTTCAAGCAAATGACATTGCGGTATCCGCCATTTTCTGCCGTTTGTAAAACAAAGGGATGTCACTCCAAATGGAATGTTTAGAACGGATGACGTCACGACTCTCCGCGTTGATATAGTTCGCTATAAATAATTAAAGTTTGATGTTTAATGGGTTGTTTTGTTATGATTTATGTATCTGTCAATATAAGGATTGAAGTTGTATTTGTTCGCGCATCATGGAATTTGCTCACGTGAAGCACTGTCTTCATCAGCTGATGAACGTCAACAAATACAACTTCAATCCTAAAATCAACATTGATTGTGTCAAATTAATGACACGAGTCTCAATCTTTCGTTCGCAATGTTCTCCGTCATTTATGAGTGTGCAGAGTTGTGTCTATATTCCGCCGTGCAAGGATCAATTGGTGGTGGATTTCCCGTGTGGCAACAAAATATCCGTCTACGATCTGTCTTCTACCCAGGGGAAGTACTGTTCCAAGCCATGACAAACGTAACAGTGGAAGTTCTTCCATGCCGCAGACACGTCGGGACAGTCAATTCGATCCTTCGTGCGAAATGAATCTAAACTTCACACTTGAATAACCACACTACATCAGTTATTGCCTGTTGACGTTATTTAGGAGATAAACATACTTTATTCTCGATGTGGAGCTGGGTTAGCTTGAGATTTAATCGACCTATATTGAATTTGGAACCGAACACGTATATTTGTTAATAAAAAAAATAATGTAATAAATATTATGGGTTTTAAATGACCTAAATGGTGTTTTTATTGCCTGGCATCTGAGTCAATCGAACAGTGACAGTTCAACAACATGCCAAGATTAACAGAAGTGAAAAAAACACGTCATAGGCCGCTTGCAGGCAGGGGATCAGCTGTAGCCAGGGTTTTCAATGTAGCGCTCAGCACCATCACGAGGCTTCGGAATCTGTTTTAACAGCATGGGTCAACACGTGATCGTCCAAGGTCAGGACGACCAAGAATAAACCACTGCCGCCCAAGATCGCTACATCCGAATGCGCCACCCACGTGAAAGGGCGACCACAGCCACCTCAATCGCATCCCAAACACCCGGACTGTGCAGAATCTCCGACCAAACCTACGAAACCGTTTATTGACTCGTCATATTGAGTCACCTTGTACTTTCCCTGTGTATCGATAACTGAGGTTACTACAATCACCAAATGTTCTCTCCACAAGAATTTGGTTCAATACCTTGCACGGTTCCTCGTATAAATGTATTTTCCTACCTCGCACAAATCTGGCGTTGCGTTTCTTTTTTTGAAGTGTATGTATTCTGGTTGACCTCACCTGTAAGAGACTAGTGTGTTACTTCTACACAATTTAAACAGTTAAAGATATTGATGTTATATCTAGCACATAATTCGTACTAATTTACATGTCTTTACAATCGTTGATATGATTGAAATTCTTCCTTTTTAAGCACCTTAAATTTTAACGAACGTTGCATATGAAAGTTGTTTGTTGTTTAATGCCGTACTTAGCAATATTCCACCTATATGACGGCTGCTCGGAGACATCACCAGGCAAGCGTGTAATTGATATTGAAAGCTACGATCCGAGCGGGCAAGGAACGATGGCATCAGTCAAACAAGTTAACGAATCTGACCACCCCACCAATTAAGACGCCTCTAACGACAGCATAGCGCTACTTGGGAATCCCCACGGGGTTTGAATACTAACATGGTCTTACTGTGTTGCTGGTATGTGCTTATAAGTACTTCTAACCATCTCTTAGACATGGTGGAAATGGCATTCCTTTACAATTTTATTGAAATTAATTCCTATAAAATGTGTGTACTATTTGTTAACGCTGTCCATGAAAGGACAGATTCAGTCATGAAACAAATAAGTTTTAAAAATGTTGTTTCAAGCATTAAAAAGACAATTTCAAATTTGCCACGCTTATTTGAATATGTCTGAGAAATTCAATGTTGAAATTACTTAAATCTGAAAACCGCCTTCGTCTTGTCAGTTTTCTTCATCCAATTTTAATATCTAATTTAATATTTAATAATTTGCAAATAAAAGATGAACGGCTGAGAATGCCTTGCCAAATGTGCTTTTGTACAAAAGAATATACTAGTATTTGCATAAGAGAGGTTCAATACTTTGACAACGGGAATAAGCGAGCGCTGCTAAAACGTCTACATCAATATTACATTATTATGAAGAGTTATCCTCCTTGCTTGAAGTAGTTCTCGTGTTCATACGCCAACATGGAAACCTTCGAGAGGGGCACGAGTCTACATTCGGCTTGTCCGGGAATGGGACAAGTTGGTCACGAATGGAACCATCAGCATGGTATGTCACGTGACAGATGTCAGGCCGAGCCCGGTCTGCCCCGATTGTCAAGGGTATCTGGCCCGACCAGCCCACATAAAGCATTTCTCAGACGGTCAACCATGAACGTTCCCCGCCAGCTGCATACGCGAGGTCGACATACCTGCGGTGGAAGCGTAATGATATAGGCTTCAATCTCCCACACTGGTTCAAGCGCAAGGCAACTTAACGGCCGAAAACTGTTGTGCGAAACCCTATAGTCGCACGTTGTTACCAATATGAACCATGCTAACTTCCTTTTACACACGACAATGGTATACCGCACACAACACGTGTAACAGCAGCATTCCATGGCAACCGCAACGTAAATACATGGCCCTCCTTGGTCCTCTAAATCGCAAGATTTGAACCGGAGGAAAATCATGTTCAGCGGGAACTTCAGACGTTTTCAAGCAGACCCAGGTAATTTGTTTAGCTATTGTAACGATGGGTGCGTCTTGGGTTCACCACTACCAGCCAGAGACTTAACAACACCCAAAGCAGTGGACACGCCAACGTCTCCTCCTCCGAAGAAGGCAAACTCTGTCCTCCAGGCGACTGCTTCGATCACTGGATTGTCTAGTCCAGACTGGATAATTACAGGTCGCCTCCACATTGATATAATAATGATGCATGCAGTGGAAATCGACACGAAAACAAACTTGAACAGACTTAGTTAATCTCCCTTTCTCGTTGATGCATTATGTCCGGTATTGACAGCAGTATCTTTTCTGTCACCCCGCGTAACAGTTCCTTTGAAGATTGGAGCCCCAAACTTCAAATTCACGCAGACGTCTGTAGTATATTATTTATATCTATGGATTGTGGTAAATAGAATGTAGGTAATCTTCATGAAAATGACAGAGGTTCCAAAGATTGGCGCGTTAGCAGAGTGCTTGAGAACGCCAGTACCAGGTTTCTAACTGCCCTTAAAATAAAGACAAAATCAATATCTTACAAAGCAAGCACTTTCCTTCCATCCAGCTTATGAATCTGTATTGAAGAGCAGTGGTGTGCATCCACGATCGATGTATAAAACGAGCGTTTTTTCCCCACACAACCCAGACAGACATTTTAACATGACACCGACGCCTCCATTTTGTCTACTTCCAGTTAGTCACAAGCTGAGAGTCAGCCTCCATCTGTCTAGATCAGGCTGGAGGATATTGGAAATCATTACTATTGTCATTTGAAATTCATTTTCACAAAATAGCATGTCGGGACCACCCACAGACAAATACCTTACTCTACCTCATGCCACAAAAAACAACCCTTTAAAGTACACTGTGTTATAGCGAGCAGGTTAGGAAGGCCGTTATTGCCGTATGACATGCGAATCATTAGGTTCCTAGAACACAATGTATATGCGATGGCAAGCTAATGGGTTTGATTCAATGTGAGAAATAACTTTAAATAGTTTCTATAACAACCAATCAACTGCCTCAGTGTCTATTACGTTCATACCACCTGGTTTGACCTGATTGCGTCCTCTGTTACCATGGTGACACCTCGGCACCGCCAACACCACGAGGACTCCCTTTTTACTAACTACACT